GTCGCCGGGGGCGACGCCCTCGGCCGACTGGTCACAAGGGCGCTCGCGCAGCAATTTGCAAGAAGCAGTTCGCGGCCGCAGCCGAGTCCCCCCAATTCGCCCGAGCGACGCGGGCAAGAACTTCCTGCGCCGCTGTGTTGCTGAGGTCGGTGCTGGGCCACGATGACGACGCAATGCTTGTCAGCATCGACGGGGTCGAGTCTTTCGATCGCGTTTCGAGGTCTGCTTTCTTCCAAGAGTTCCTTGCTCGCCCAGAGCTGGTTGACCTTACACCTGACTCCACCCACCTCTGGCTAGACACGGAGAGGGACTGCGCACGACGTGAAGGAGGAAACGGGCGAGCAGGGGGATGCGCTGGCCCAGGCTCTTTTCGCACTCGCCTTGGGGCTCCTTTCCCCCCTCCTTTTCTGACGTTTATATCAAGATGGCCAGGGCCAGGTCCAGAGCAGTTTTTGACACCAACGCTGGCGCAGTTTACCTCCACGAAAGAGTGACGGGCCCAAAGCAGGGGCGGAGGCGCAGCGCCACCTGGGATAGGCGAGCTGGGACAAGACGTCAGGAGAGGCGACACAACAACACCTCACCGAGAAATCCCACCAGCCCTCTGGGCGTCGGTGGTTTAGAGCGTTTCTTCTTCCTCCCCTCCTTCTTCCCCTTCGGGGAGGAGTTTACCCCTCCCCCTACCCCCTCCCCACTGACCTGGACAGGGGGTTCCGCGGCGCGTTGGAGCGCCCAAGATGGACCCCTGGGAGGGCTAAAACTAGACACCCCTCACGAGGATCGTGGCTCCTGAGGGGGGGACTGTAATTAGGGAACCCCCCTTCGTTGATCGATCTCCTCCAAGATGGCTCCGAGGCCCCCGAAGAGGCCCCCAGGAGGCCCCCGCGCCCAGGAGGCCCCAAGAAGCGCCCATGAGGCCCCCAAAGGCCCCAAGATGGCCCCAAGAGGCCCCAAGAGGCCCCCAGGAGGCCCCAAAGAGAATCCCGAACGGGCCACAGAGGCCCCCCCGAGGCACCCAAGACGCCGAAAAGCCCCTGAGGACGACCCTCTACTCGCCTGGGCGTCGTTTCTGGACGGGCTGGTGGGGATACGCGAAGCGTTTAGAATTTAGATCCTGGCTGCCCCGCTCGGTTCCCTAGAACTTGTCGCGGCACACCCGGAGAGCAGACAACAGGATGAGAGGAGGCTGCTGGACGCTGACGCGCCTGCCCGCACCTCCTCCCCTGCGCCCCCCCTCCGGCCAACCATCTGCTGCGAACGCCGCCGCCCGAAAAAGTTGCCGAATATGCGAACGAGGCCACGACGACGACATGTGGACCACCCTGCGCCGCCGTCTTTGGGGATCGCAGGACGGCAAGAGACGGGCGCGCGCATAGGCAGCAATACCAGAGCGACGCGCAGGATTCGGGTCCCAAAGCGCTGCGCGCACGTCCCCGGCGCGAGCGCACCGCTGCGAGTTTGCAGTGGCCGCTGATGCAGCGATCGCTCTACGCAAAGCGGGGGTGTGGTCGGCCAGCCGCCGAGGCAAAAACTACACGAAACAGCGGCAAAACAGCACGCAAGAGCGCGGAACATTTTGTCGAGATCGTGCGCGCCTGTGGTTAGCGAACCTTTCGGAGACGGGCGGCCCGCGGCAAGTGAGAACGCAGAAAACGGAAAGGGTTTCGCCGAAGTGGGCAGGCTCTCGGCAAGAACGCGAGAACCGATCGCACGAAATCCCACCAGCCCTTTAGGGCGTAGGTGGTTTAGGTGCTTCCTCTTCCAACCCCCTTTTCCCCTTCGGGGAGGGGTTTATCACTACTGTCTATTAGTATACACCCCCGAGCCATTGAGGGCTCCCCCCTTTCCGTTGTAGAAAACAATGCAAAACACATTCTGCCTCCAAATTCGGAGCATGCGCAGCGAACCCGATGCGGCCTCCTCCCACCATCCCGAACAAACAACGATACAAAGTACACTTGGCGGCGGCGGCGGCTGCGGCGGCTGCGGCGGGGGCAGCGGCTGCGGCGGCGGCGGCGGCGGCGGCGGCGGCGGTGGCGGCGGCGGCCGCGATGGCGGCAGCGGCTGCGGCGGCAGCGGCTGCGGCGGCGGCGATCTGGCAGCGGCGGCGGCAGCGGCGGCGCGGCGGCGGCGGCGGCGGGCGCCCATCCAAAGACGACTGCTGAATTTGCTGCGGCTCGGGCCAGGCTCGGGTGCTACGTGTGTGTTGGGAAGGCGGGTGGGAGTGAACGAGACGGCTTGCGGGCGGGGAGGGCGTCTTGACCCCTCGCCCTTCCCCCTCCCGTGGACCTGGACAGGGCGTTTCGCGAGCGGTCGGATCGTCCAAAACGGCCTCGGCGAGGAAGCCAAAGTCATTGGTTTAACCTTGGTTTTGGCCCTATTTTGGGACTCCCGAGGAGGGGGCGTAATTGAAGCTCCGCCCTCCTTTCATCGATCTCCTCCAAGATGGCCCCAAGAGCGCCCCCGAGGCCCCAAGAGGCGCCTAAGAGGCCCACAGGGTGCCCCCAAGAGGCTCCCAAGAGACCCCCAACAGGCCCCAAGAGGCCCCCCAGAGGCACCCAAGACGCTCCAAGAGGCCTCGGCGAGAATGGCAAATCACTGATTTAACTAAGGTGTTGGCCACATGTTGGCTTCCTGGGGGGGGGGGCGCTGCTTAAGATGACTCCAAGAGCGCCTGGGAGAGCCCACGATGACCTCCAAGATGGCTTAAGATATCCCAAGATGCCTCAAGATGGCCCCCACGATGCTCAAGAAGGCCCCGAGACCGCTACAAGACGGCTCCAAGTTACCAAAAAGCTCCCCCAGGAGGCCCCGAAGATGCCCACATCCTTCCAAAACCTTAGACAAATCAATGTTTTTGTTGCTTTCTCGCCTTTTCGCTTCCGATGGCCATCCGAGGCCTCAAGATGGCTCCAAGATGGCCCAAGAGGGCTCCAAGAGCGCTCCCAAGGATCCCAAGAGCGATTCAAGAGGGCCCCAAGATGTGCCCAGGAGGCTCAAGGAGGCCCCAACAGGCGCCCAAAAGGTCTCCAAGAGGCTCCCAAGAGACCCCCAAAAGGCCCCAAGAAGCTCTCCGCTAAGAGGCGTCTGGGACCGCCAAGAGGCCCCCAAGACGCTCCAAGAGGCCTCCGCTGGGGGACCCTTCCCCTGTGTGCTGCCCACTTCCCTGATCGAGGCAATTCCTCTGGGAATCGTTTCTGGATAGGCTGGTGGGGTTACGCGAAGTGTCAAGAATTCTGCTCGTGCGGCACGTTTCTCTAGGCTTTCTTTCGTAAATCTATGCTGTCTATGCTTGGATTAGGTCGATGCTGGCAAACAGGTCGGCCCGCGAATCTCCAAAACATCTCCCAGCGAATCCCCAATCTCCAAATAAACACTTCCCGCCAATCTCAATAACACATTTTCGCGTCTTCAACATCTCAAACAAAATCTCCAACACATCTTGGCGTCAACGATATCTCCAACGAAATCTCCAAACTATCTTCTGGATATGTTTTCAAGATTTCCCAGACAGTTCCAGTAAATGTTCTGGAAAGTTCTGCACGCCAGACATGTTCCATACATCTTCTTGGGATTTCTGCACCACGGAGATTTCCCCATGGATTTTCGACACCTAGAAATGTTTTGGAGATTCCCCCAGAGAACAGCGAGAGAATGTCCGGAGATTTGGGAATGCCCAAACACGGCCTGGACGTTATGTTCCGACAATTTTCCGCCCCGAGGGCCCCGGTCGCGTTGCCATATTGATCAAATGTAAATCGATACGCAACCCGATTGAAAAGTCAGACCCCGATTAGTAATGGCGCGCATGCTCCGTCGATTTTCCTTGCGTAATGCAGGCCAAGAGAGCAAGAAGTGCAATTACCTGATAAACGTCCCGGTCGTCAGTCGTCAGCCAAGGAGTCGAATTTGGGTATGTGTCATGCTCGCTCCGCAATCTTGGTGCGCTGATGTGTGTCGGATTGAAGCCCCAAAGCCGCCTGTTGGTACAAGCAGCTGCCTCCCACCATGGCGTCCAGTCACCTGCGCCCCTCGCTCGCCCAGGGCCCCACGCACACTCACACACACACACACATACCTCAACTGCATGCGCACAATGAGCACTGCCTGCCCTCACCGATCCGTCCTGCCGACCTCCGTCGGCACGCCACTCGACCCTCGCCCTGGGGGCATCGCAGAGCTCTGGCCTCGCAGTCCTCCGGGGCCGGCTGCACTGGCCGGAACGTGCTCTCCGAGTCCCATGCAAACGCATCTGGCCGGACTGGTCACCGGTCAGGGTCGCTGGGCCAGGCCGGGTGAAGAAGTGCCTGCGGTCGCGAGCGGAGCAGCAAAAAGAAGCACCTCGGCACCTCTGCGGCCAAGGAGCGGGGGGTCGCCATGACGAGCGGGCGATGAGTTTGTCTGCTGCGGGTGCAACTCTGCGGTTGGCAAGAGCCCCCCCCATTTGAGCTGGAGCACTTCGTCTTTCATCTAACGATGGCTCGAGATGTCCACTTACAGTGCGCAAGCTACTGCGAGCGCAAGTTGCATTCTTGCACGGTACACCGCCTCCGCGCTCGCACTGTGCAGCGCCAGGAGAAGACTTCTCCCCGAAAGCCGCGCTCACGCGCTTGCAACCTGCTGCGCAGCGCCTGGTGGAAAGATCAGCGATTGCGGCACACGTCTCAGATGAGCACAATTTAGACTGAGAACGGAGGTTTTGCAGCCGATACCCAGGCGTGCCGCCCCAACCACCATCAAAACGCTTTGGATCTCGGGCGAACTTTCAACACGCACTGCGCGTTAACCACAGGCCATTGCATCGCAGGGGCATGCTGACCTTATGATCGCACGTTCATGCGCCACCTCCCTTATCTTATACACAACTGCGCAAAAGCAACATTTCGCCGAGACCATGCAGCAACGACAAACTCGCCAGCAAGAGAGATGTGATATGCTGCTTCGCCTTGCCGTCCCATCTGGGCCTGCGCTTTGCTTGCCTCCCGGACTTCCCCCCCCACCGAGAACGAGCCTCCACAATCAGGTACGGACGATGGAGTAGACGTTGTCGTGTTCTTTGGCTGGCGTGCTGCGGCCAGGACGCACATGAACATTGCAAAAAAAATAGACACCATTCCCGCGCAGTGCTGCATTTGCAGAACTGCAGAGGCCGCGCAAGCAGAGAGGGGAGGCGAGCAACTTGCGAACGTGAATAAACCTAACCTAACTAGGGCAACAAAGCCTTGAGCCAGCGCGGTTCGATCAATCGGGCACTTCGCGCACGCTGAGCTTATAGCAAACGCCAGGCTTGGTTAAACTTAAAGCTGAAATATACGACCGTGCCGACGAAAGACTTGAAGATGCATAAAACTAGTAGTAGTGGCGCGGACCGGGCGAATACAAACGATGATGCACCCATACAAATTAAACGTGACTTAGTGCTGGCAATGAACGAATGGGCATTGCAATGGAAAGCAGATGCCATGGAAGTGTCAAGCAGCGCAAAGCAGCACAACAAGGAAACAGAGCAACGCAACATCGACATGATGCAATGTAGTGCACATCAAACCAAAACAAAAAACAAACCCAGTGCAACGCAACACAGTGCAATACGAAGCCAATGAATGGGAGCACCCGAGGAACCCAGAGAATTCTAAGAACGCAAAGACGGTGAAACCACCGGGGAAAGAGAAACAACTGGGGAACCTGGGCTGAGGGTCGCAAATGCCACCAGACTTCTTGCACAGAATAATGAAGGGAGAAGCGAGAAACGGCCATTGAAGAGGGATGAGGGAGAAGCGAAGAGGCAGGTGGGAGGAGGGAGAAGAGAAGAACCAAACAAGGAGGAGGCAACCACAAAACGAAAGGGGGAACGGAAAGGAGGCATGCAGGATGAGGGAGCGAGGAGGACGAACAGATGAGGGAGGATGGGGGAGGGAGGAGCGAAGAGGGAGGGAGCAAGAAGGAGGCGCGGATGATCGAGAAGGCCATCGTTGGGCCCGTCGGCACGGAAGCAAACTATCAGGTCTGGGCGTGAGTTTAACCAGCTGGGAGTCCTCCTAGGGCTCTCTCTTGCCCATCTGAGGGTCGCTTTGGAGATCGCGAGGGCCCTTTTGGGCTCTCGTGGAGCAGTCTGTGAGCCTTCACAGAGCATGTCGGGGCACTTAGGGGCCATCTAGAATCCATCCACAGTCAGCAGAACACTGTCGCTAGTGAGATCTGCAACGAGCATGGTAATGTGTCAGGGTCGGTTTGAAGGAATCCCCGGCCTTCCTCATCCTCCTCAGCTTCATCCTCCTCGTCCTCCGCCTCTTCGTCCTCCTGTTCATCCTCTGATTCATCATTCTCACCCTCCTCATCCTCAACTTCCTCCTCCTTCTTCTCGACCTCCTCAGCCTCAACCCCTCGCCCGCATCATCCTGATCCTCCTCGCCACCATCCACACCATCGCCATCCCCATCGGCATCCCCATCCTACTTGTCCCAAATCTCCTGACCCCCCCATCGTCGTGATCATCCTCATTGCCATACTCATTGTCGTCCGTTCTCGTCGTACTTTCTTGTCTCCCATCCTCGTCGTCTCCAGGAGCGCATATAATCAAATCGATAAGTCGGATCGGCGATCGACATGAATCGGATCGGCGGAGATCGGCAGCCAAGTCGGGAGGAGCCCGGATCGGCGGAAATCGGCAGCGCAGTGGGGCCTCACCGAGGAGCCGGAGCCCAGACCCGAAGCCGAAGTCGCATCGAACCGGAATCGGAGCCCCTCGAGATCGGAGCGAACCGCATCGGAGCGAATCGAAACCGAGCGCTGCATCCCCCTCGCCTCCCACCTCCCCGCTCCGATCCACAAGCTTTCGCCACGGGCCCAGCTGTTCTGAGCGGAACCCGGCCTGGGCTCCTCCCTCCCCTTCGTCAGCCCGTCCCGCCTCCCTCCCGTCCTTCCTCCAGGCCTTCTTGAATGTCCTTCCTGTCCTTCCTTCCCGTCCTTCCTTCCCTCTTCCTCCCTCCTGTCCTTCCTGTCCTTCCTCTCTCTCCTCCTCCTGTCCTTCCTGTCCTTCCTTCCCTCTTCCTCCTTCCTGTCCTTCCTCCGGGCTCGACTCGCAGCAGGATCCTCATGGCACAGTGGAGGCCAGTCCACAGGAAACCTTCCACAAGGGACCCAACCCTGAGACTTCAGGACGTCCATGGATTTTTGGTGTGGGAACGTCACGCTCGCCACAGCAAAACCATCGAAACCCAAGAAACCAGGGCACCCTGGAGGCGAGCAGGGTGTTTCTTGGCATGGGCCCCCACTATACTCATCATCCTCGTCACCATCGCCCGCCTCACCCGTTGTCCGTCTTCACGCGCACGCACGCGCCCGCCCGCTAGCATGCACCCAGCCGGCGGGATACCCATTTTGCGGCTGCTTGATGGGAAGGGGGAGCCCCTGGACTTGGCTCACCCCAACAACGCCCTGGACGCTTTTCCCCCAACCATCCTGTGGTGTTGGGCCCTCGCTTCGAAGAGACAGCGCCCCGCGTCCCTCTCCTAATTATCCTCTACTCTCCTCTCCTCTTTTCTCCTCCTCCTCCCCGCCTCCTCCCATCCTTGCCTCTGCCCTCCGCATGTTTCTATTTCGGCACACCCCTCACACGTTTCGTGGTACCACAAGGAGCTCTACCTTAGGCCCTAGCGGCACAGTCCGCATGGCGTACCCGCACACGTTCCGTGGCCCCATAGAAGCTCCACCGAAGGCCCCAGCGGCACAGTCCGCATGGCGCACCCGCACCCGATTCGGCACACCCTTCACACGTCATGGGCCCCATAGGAAGTTCCCCCCAACGCCCCGGCTGCATAGTCCGCATGGCGCACCTGCACCTGAGTCGGCACCCCCCTCACACGTTTCGTGGCCCAATGGGGAGCTCCACCGAAGGCCCCAGTGGCAGTCCGCATGGCGCACCCGCACCCGATTCGGCACACCCCTCACACGTCTCGTCGCTCTACAGGGAGCTCCGGTGCAGGCCCCAGTGGCAGCGCCCGCACTGCTGCCCCGCTCCATCTCGGCACACCCTTCACACGCTTCGTGGCCCAATAAGGAGATCCACCGAAGGCGATACCCACAACGTCGATACTCACCACTGCATATGGTTGGGTCCTTCGACCGGATAATGTATGCTATGTGTGTGCGTATCTACATATCTATATGCGTATGGAATACAACTTTGTATTGCGGGTTCGTGATCGGCTAAAATCGATAAACACACGCTGCATTTTTGCTCGCGTTGTTTTAAGGCAGTGCGTGTTAGAGTGTCGAGGCCCGTCGCTGTGGATCATCATTTCTTTACGCGTTGTTGGCTTTCTTGTCGAGGACTGCCCCTTGTCTTCCCTGCCGTCTTCGCTCCGGCTCTCCCGTTCCTGCTGCCTCCCCTTTCTCCAGCTCCGCGCGCAACGCAGCAAACAAAAAACGCCCTGACACCAATCTAACATTGGCGCGAAACAGGCCCGTAGGCTCCGCAACCAGCCAGCAGGAACGGCCAGAGAAGAGCAAGAGGAACACACAACAAACATACGATGAGGATGCCTAGGCGCACGAGTGCAGGGTAGCCCTGGGCAGATGACCAGCTGGGAGCATCAACTACCCAACAATGTCCCGCACGGCGAACAACTGTGCGTACACACAGTTACACGTGCGGCAACACCCGAACGAGCTCACCATAACTATGGCAAGCTCTTACTGCGCACGATTACCTGCGCGATTCCCATATGGAGACGACGGCAATCACGACGACGAGAACGACGAAGGCGACGCGCGTGCTCGATTGGAGATGAAGCGGAATACTTTTCAATCTTTCTAGAAGCAAGCCCAGACTAGAGCTCGAAACCTGCACCCTGGAAACAAACCGCGGTCCGAGGCATCATCCAGGGGAGCTCGAAACACTCTTGAGACAACCGCGGCCCGAGCCAGCATCCAGGGGAGCTCGAAGCAGCCGCGGCCCGACACAGCACTTGAAGGAAGAGCCGCCGCCCGAAACGGCACGCAGTGCACCTCGAGCGCGCCCCCCCTCGAAGCAGCCGCAGCCCGAGGCAGCACCCGAGGGAGCCCGAAGGAGCGCTCCCGCGGCCACGGCCCGAGGCGGGTGGGGAGAGCCGACAGCTGGCAGATCGCGCGCACGCAGATCCCCTGCAGTAGAGGCGTTGACCTAAGGAACCCTGAATAAGGAACGAGGCCCCTATTTTCCATAAGTTAGACTTCGATTTCGTATCGAAACCCTAAGGAACATCTAAGGCAAGCTGCGAAACAATTAAGGAACACGGAGCCCCTCCCCAACGACAAGGGTTCCTTCTTCAGGGCCCCGACTGTACCCGGGAGAAGCGACGGGGCGTCCAATCGAAAGGGCCCCCCCCCCTCTGGAACGTTGAAACACGACGGAAACGCTCCACCACTACCGTCGGGCTGCCAAAAGAAGGAACGCTAGATAAGGAACGACGTCCCTTCTAGGCCCTGTAAGCGCCTCCGTGCCCCAGGAGGGCAAGAGGAACAGCACTGGAGAAACCTAAGGAACATCGAGCCCCTTCCGAACCCAAACTGTTCCTTATTTCAGCGTCTTGACCGTAACACCGCCCCCGTTGTCGACTGAACCCGCTTGACTGCACTTCTCGGGCCAGCCCTCCATAACCAGGGGCGTCCTCTCGACCACAACATGGCTTGCAGAACCGTGCGGCCGCGATTTCGATGCCCGCCAGGCCCTGGCTGCCGCATGTCCGCGGCCGCGCTGGCGCGGGCACGCTCGTCGCCAATTGGCGCGGGCGCTGGCCATCGGCAAAAAAGCCATCGCGGCCAACTGGTTTAGCAACACCTGTGTGGCCGCGATGGCGCTTACCGATGGCTCCTTCTCCGCGCGTCTCAAAGGCCGCGCTGGCTCGCGGGTAATCCAATGCGGGTCGGTGACTCGGGCGGGCGCGGTATCACGATGACGCTGGCATCAGCGGCAACCATGATGATAATAGCATAGTAATGGCGATGGTAACGATGACGACGGCAAGGCCAATAACAGCGCCGATGCTGGTGACGACGGCAACAATGATGATACTGATGAAGTCCATGTGTCGGTGATGAAGGGGCTGGAATGATAATGGCGGCAATGGCGGCGATCGTCGAGGACCATGACGTGACGCGGCGGCGCCGATGGAAGTGATGGTGCAGAAGTGCGCGCGCGGAGATCTGGGAAATCCAGGAATCCTGGCAAATCTTCAGCTGAAAAGTATTCGGGTTGTTATATATATATATATACATATATGTGTTTGAGTATTTATGTATATATCTAAATATCTATATATATATGTGT